TGTGTGTGAGAGTGTGTGTGTGTGTGTGATGCTGCAGTGCATGCTGGGATCTGCTGCCGCCCACACCCAGCGCTTCATCTCACGCTTTCCCTGAAACACAAACACCTCTTAAAGATGCAGACGATCATCAGACAGACAGACAGAGGACTCATCTGCTGCTGTAGCGGCACTTCAGCCAGAGTGATGTGTGTTTTCCTCTAATACAGCTGTGTGTGTGTGTGTGTGTGTGTGTGTGTGTGTGTGTGTGTGTGTGTGTGTGTGTGTTAGCTGTGTGTAACGGTTCACTGGGGTCACGATTCATGCATAAAAGTACCTGTATGGAGACTAACCCAGCTTTAAACCCACCCATACCAGCCTAGATCAACCCATATCCAGCTGAAGAGCACCACTCCTCCTGGGCAGTATACTCGGGCATTCTGTCTGAATGGGGAAACATCAAATTCTCCAAAACTGCTTGCTGAGCTCACCATGACATTTCATATTCATCACCAATGAAATCTGAACAACACCTGTCCCTTTATTTTGACTTCTAAACGTCCAAATCATGAAATCTGCAGACACTCACGCCTGCTTTCAGCCTCTCCCCGCAGTATTGTCAGTCTGTAGAGATCTGTGATTGGCTCCTGTACTAGTAGACGGAGCTTCATTTGCTGTGTTGACCATTACACTTCTCCCCATTCAAAAGTTGTGAGTGTCATGTCTTGTGTATTCTAGAGCCGGTGATCCTGCTCAGTTTGTTTAGTTGTGTCTGATCAGGGCTGAAGCTGAGCGCAGATCTCCAGCAACAACTTCTATAGAGGATCTGGCATTCAGGAGTGCTGCGCTTGTGTTTGTGTACACCACCTGACAGAAGTCTTGTGGCCTCTCAAAGTTTTAGGAACACAGATAATATCTGCTCTTCTAGTTGCTGATCTGGTGTCAGAAGTGTCTCTATGAAAGGTGAAGGCCTCTAGATTTTGCTGATTTGAGCTCAATAAATCTGATCATGTCTTGATGTTGACTGATTGACATGTTGATGTCTGGTGACTGGGCTGGCCAATCCTGGAGCACTCTTTGTTTCAGGAGCTTTGATGTGGAGGCTGAAGTATGAGCAGGAGCGCTATCCTGCTGGAGAATTGTCCCTCTCCTGTGGTTTGTAATGTAATGGGCAGCACAGATGTCTTGATACCTCAGGCTGTTGATGATGTTGATCTCTCACACGCCCCCATACTGAATGACCCCCAAACCATGACGTCTCCATCACCAAACTTGACTGATTTCTGTAGGAATCTTGGTGCATGCTGGTTCCAGTAGGTCACTGCAGTGTTGGTGATGATCAGGATGCAGATCAGCAGATGATCCAGCAGAGAAATCCCAAATCGTCAACTAGAAGTCAAGTGATTACCTGCTGCTCCTACACCTGAGATCCACCACTAGACTTTCGTCAGGTAGTGTGTATGCTAATTGAGAGAGGTGTGTGTTTACTCTGACTGTGTCTGCCTGCAGAACTGTGCTGATCCAGCGTTTATCTGCAGATATGAGCAGATCTTCCACACACAGCTGATATTCTGTGAATAATCAATAATCCAGCATTGATGAGCGCAGTGGCCGTGAGGGGCTGTCATCCACCAGCAGCTCCTCCAACACTGGAGATGTTCAGGGCTCTGTAGACTCAGTCACAGTGTGTTCAGTCTGTAGGATGTGTGTGTTCTCCTGTGATTATATATGAGTGTGTGTGTGCAGTGATGAACGGGTGTTATCTGCAGATCAGTCGCTCTGATGCTGCTAATGAAGCTTTGACTGATTAACTCACTCCAGCGTCAGACTCAGTGCTGGAAAATTAATGTGATGTCAGCTCTGATGGAGACGAGGAGATCTCAGAGCTCTGCCGACTGCAGCACACACACACACGCACACATGCATACACACACACACACACACACATGCATACACACACGCACACACACACACACACACATGCACACACACACACACACGCACACACACACACACACACACACACACACACACACACAGCTGAATCTCCCTCATGCTCTTCACACTTCCTCTGAAAGACACAACACTCTCTTCACATCTAGTTTGGGTTCACACCAGACAGTCGAATAATTCTCGCTGTTCATGCGTGAATCACTCGCTTCATTCTGTCAGAGGTGTACAGTATATGATTATGATTATGGGAGAATTACTGTACATAGATCAGCTCAGTCTCCAGTGTTCTGCTCTCCTTCATGTGTTCCTCTGCTGAATGAGAGTGAGCGCTGTGAGCAGATGTGCAGCTGTAATGACTCCTCAGTGTTTACCTGCGGGATCTTCAGCGTTTACTCTGCTTTTACACCGTCTCTGCTGCGATTCGGCTCAGTAAAGCAGAAATAGAGTCACAGCTGGAGATCGACAGCCCCAGAGTCACCAGAGAACACACACACACACACACACACACGCACACGCACACGCACACGCACACACACACACACACACACACGCTGTCAGTGGTCCGGGGATTAGACTGCTGGCTGCTCTTCATCAGGCTGTATGGAGCAGGTGCCAGGATGTAGAGCGCCACCTACTGTCCAGACTCACCCCAGACTCAGTGCCGGACTGATTGAAGAGATTTCCCTCCACAGCTGGAGTGTGAAAGACTCAAAGCTAACATCAGACAGCTGTGAAGTGACGGTGGTGTGTCCACCTGATCATTACTGGTGGAGTATTGATGAGTAACACAGCTTTAGACAGGCTAGTTTACTATTAGAGTGAGTGAATGGTTGTCTTAAAACTGTGGTAAATGAACTGTCTGCATAATCATGAATAATCCACGATCTTAACAGCTCTAACTCAGAGCGATTGACTCATTTCTTCAAGTCTGCTCGTCAGTCTTAAGACAGCAGCGTTCCTCATTCTCTTTGGTAAAGTGTGTTTGTCTGTGTCAGGACGGCAGCTTCTCTCCTCTTATTAAGTGAAGGCAGTGTGTGTGTTTAAGGCATTGGGTTTGCTCATCTGTGTGAACTGAAGTGTGTGTCCTCGGGGCAGGAGTGTGTGTAGTTTTCTTCAGAGGTGCTCTTCTTCTTCTGAAGGCTGTCTGCGGTCAGGGCTCATTGATTGGGCTCTTCTCTTCAGCTCCGCGGGGTCTCTCAGACAGACAGACGGCAGCTTTGAAGACTGAACTCACCGACTGCAGATAAAGATGATCAAACGCTGGAGTCTCCGTCA